TCTAGAAATCTCATTCTTGTCTCCCTTGTGTTTTATTTAAGGTACAGGTAAAACCCTGTCACATATCATTTTGGTTTGGGTAATCACAGAATAATTTCATTTTATCTGTTAATTTCTGCTAACAAGTATTTTAAAGGTCAAGTTAATTTCCATAAACTCTGGTTGTTAGACAAAGCCATCATTTAAATGTAAGCAATAAATTCCAAGAGTTATTTGCCCATATAAAGCCAAAAGAATTCACAAAATTGTATAGTTAAGCATGTGTTTTATTTGTGACATCTGAATCTTTCATATAAAAGAACTCACTGTAGGTAATTAAAATATCTGAAACTGACGTTCAGACTTTTTCTCTCAAAGCTGAGAGTGGTGCCCCCTTCAAAATAAAATTCATAACAAATTTTTAATCAGTATTAACCCTTCCTGCTACATGTGTGTGTTTGTGTGAGTGAGAGAGATCACCTGTCTGATAATGCTCTTGACACACTGCAGTGGCAGTCCTTGGTAGTTGGATTTAATGATCCATTTCAGCAGGTGGTGACCCAGAACCTCAAACACCATACACACATCTGGGAGGAGGAGTCAAGGACTCGATCATGTCTGTCAGTCAGACTCACAAAAGCACATACAAACACACTTCGGATTGGGATACGTATGCCATTGACTCCAGAGATCTTGAAGTCATCTATCAGCTGAACCACCATGTCTTTGTTTGGATCTCCAGGGTCACTCTCTCTCACCTGGAGGATGAGATTGTTGAGAGGACATGATAAAACTGACTGAAGGTAGAAAAAAAGAAAATGACAGACAGGAAGACACGAAAGAGAAGCAGTGTAGACTGAACAGGAAGAAAGTTGTGGTTTAAAGCGTGACTGTGAGAAGGTAGGAAAGAGCGAAAGAAACAAGATGAAGGAGGAGCAATGACTTGAGGTGAGAATGAGGGAAGATAAAAGAAAGGTAAAAAATGGAACAATAATAAGAGAGCAAAATGTCAAATCAATCAGATGCTCACACATCGCAACAATTTGATCTCATCCAGGGCTGTTTCTGTGTAGTGCTGAGCGCTCTTCACCACCTTCATTGCCACAAAGTTCTTCACTCTATAGTACACACACAGATTTGACATAATTTCATTTTATAGTTATTTGCATCAACAACATAATTAATGTCAAGTTTGAAAGATGGAAGGGATTCTCACACAATCCATTATTAACTAACAGATTAATCAGGTTTGGCTACAATCATTTGCTTCATTAATGGTATGGTATAACGTTTATTCATTTAAAAAAAAGTACAAAACAATTCCATAACAATATAAAAAAGATACAAAAGATTTAAAATGAAAGGCAGCAGAAAGAAGAAAAAATCTTATTATATCTGCCCCTTTTTTTAAACAATTATTTCAAACATAATAATTTTCAAGTAAAAGAACAAAATGAATAACTTTCTAATTTTTCTAATTCTAATACAAAACACACACTAAGCTACTTCATATATACTTTAACAATTCAGCTTTGATCTTTTTCTTAAATGTACACATTGACTTGGTATTTTTCATATCACTCTCTAGACCATTCCACAATCCAACTCCTTGGATTGAGGTAGACCTTCCCTTCAGACTAGTTCTGAATTTTGGTTTGACAAATATCTCTATCCCCTTAAGATTATAATAATTATTATTATTATATTATAATATAATTATATAATATAATATAATTATTATTATATTATTATATTATAATATAATTATATAATATAATATAATTATTATTATATTATTATAATTATTATTATTAATTAATTATATTATTAATCTAATATTACTACAGCTACAATTCATGTTCTTCTTTAAAATGAGAAATAAATTGTAACCTTTTTGGTCAACTTGAAAAGCTTAGGCAATACAGTAGTCCTTCGCTACTTCTCGGTTTGTTTATCGCGGACTCACTCTTATTGCGGTTTTTCAGAATAAGATTGAACATGACACACAACTGGCTGATTGATGGATGAGCTGCATGATTGGCATGGAAATTTAATGTAAATTAAATTATTTTAAATTATTAGCACCTGTTGCACATTTGAGGCAGCATGGTGGCGCAACTGGTAGAGCTGCTGCCTCTCAGCGAGCAGGTCCTTGGTTCAAACCCCGGTCCAGGGGCCTTTCTGGGTGGAGTTTGCATGTTCTCTCCGTGCATGCGTGGGTTTTCTCCGGGTGCTCCGGTTTCCTCCCACAGACCAAAAACATGCATGTTAGGCTGATTGGTAACTCTAAATTGTCCCTAGGTGTGAGTGAGAGAGTGAACGGTTGTTTGTCTCTATGTGGCCCTGTGATGGACTTGCGACCCATCCAGGGTGTACCCCGCCCCTCGGACAGTGATTGCTGGACATGGGCACCAGCGACCCCCGTGACCCAAAATGGAATAAGCGGGTAAAGATAATGGATGGATGGATTTTGTACATTTGTGCAGCCCATACTGCTGCAGGACAAACTTCCTGCTGCAGCTGAACAGCTGCAGAATTGGGCATGGCCAACAGCACTTGCAGGTCACAAAGAGCAAAGGAGACAGTGAGCTGAAATCATGACATTCTCTTTTAGAGTGTTTAGAGTTTAGAAACATTGTTTAGAATATTGCAAGAGTGTGCGAAGGATTTAAAACACCTTTATATACAGTGAGGAAAATAAGTATTTGAACACCCTGCGACTTTGCAAGTTCTCCCACTTAGAAATCATGGAGGGGTCTGAAATTTTCATTTTAGGTGCATGTCCACTGTGAGAGACATAATCTCAAAAAAAAAATCTGGAAATCACAATGTATGGTTTTTTAAATAATTTATTTGTGTGTTACTGCTGCAAATAAGTATTTGAACACCTGTGAAAATCAATGTTATTATTTGGTACAGTAGCCTTTGTTTGCTATAGGCCCTTTTCACATGACGTCAGACAACTTCCTTTTTGACTCGATGCTGTGGATCATTACTTACAGTCTATTCTCCCTCAGGAGACCTGTCTTAACGGAACTTAACGTAATTTCATTCCTTCAACCTTTATTTATAGAGGTTATATTACAAGATATAGCGCAAGGTAAGGTTAATAAAAACAGTATTTATGTGTTTGTTAGCTGTGGTAATGTTATCCATCATTATCAATTTACCATTCTGTAACTGTGCAAGGAAACAGCCTCCAATTGGAAAGTAAGCTAGCTAGCAGAAACGGGTAGCTAAAATATACACTGCTGCTGCCTGTCAGTGCAGTAACATTAAAATTTTTACTTTATCTATTAAAGTGAAATCTCAAAGACCCCGATGATGAGAAACACAAATGGACGTAATGTTCCCTTGCCCTGACGTGGGTCACCGGGGCCCCACTCTGGAGCCAGGCCTGGAGGTGGGGCACGCGGGCGAGCGCCTGGTGGCCGGGCTTTTACCCATGGAGCTCGGCCGGGCACAGCTCGAAGAGGAGACGTGGGTCCCCGTTCCCATGGGCTCACCACCTGTGGGAGGGGCCCAAGGGGTCGGGTGCAATGTGGGATGGGTGGTGGCCGAGGGCGGGGACCCTGGCGGTCTGATCCTCGGCTACAGAAACTGGCTATCGGGACGTGGAATGTCACCTCACTGGTGGGGAAGGAGCCTGAGCTGGTGTGTGAGGCTGAGAGGTTGCAGCTAGAAATAGTCGGACTTACCTCTACGCATGGCTCTGGCTCTGGAACCAGTTTCCTTGAGAGGGGCTGGACACTCTTCCACTCTTGAGTTGCCCCTGGTGAGAGGCGCTGAGCAAGAGTGAGCATACTTATTGCCCCCCAACTTGGTGCCTGTGTGTTGGGGTTCACCCCGGTGAATGAGAGGGTGGCCTCCCTCTGACTACGTGTGGGGGGACGGGTTCTGACTGTCCTTTGTGCTTATGCACCAAACGGCAGTTCAGATTATCCACCCTTTTTGGAGTCCTTAGAGGGGGTACAGGAAAGTGCACCTCCTGGGGACTCCCTTGTTCTGCTGGGGGATTTCAAGGCTCATGTAGGCAATGACAGTGAGACCTGGAGGGGTGTGGTTGGGAGGAACGGCCCCACTGTTCTGAACCCGAGTGGTGTTCTGTTGTTGGACTTCGGTGCTCGTCATGGATTGTCAATAACAAACACCTTCTTCAAGCATAAGGGTGTCCATATGTGCTCTTGGCACCAGGACACTCTAGGCTGCAGTTCGATGATCGACTTTGTCATCGTCTCACCTGATCTGCAGCCACATGTCTTGGACACTCGGGTGAAAAGAGGGGCGGAGCTGTCCACTAATCACTACCTGGTGGTGAGTTGGCTCCAATGGTGGGGGAGGATGCTGGTCAGACCTGGCAGACCCAAACGTATTGTGAGAGTTTGCTGGGAACGTCTGGCAGAGTCTCCTGTGAGATGGAGTTTTAACTCCCACCTCCGGGAGAACTTCGAACATGTTCCGGGGGAGGTGGGGGACATTGAGTCTGAGTGGATCATGTTCCGTGCCTGTATTGTCGAGGTGGCTTACCGTAGCTGCGGCCACAAGGTTGTCGGTGGCTGTCACGGTGGCAACCCTCGAACCCGATGGTGGACACCGTCGTTGAGGGATGCTGTCAGGCTGAAGAAGGCGTCCTATCGGGCCTTTTTGGCCTGTGAGACCCCGGAAGCAGCTGATGGGTACCGGCAGTCCAAGCGACATGCGGCTCGGGTGGTCGCTGAGGCAAAAACAAGGGCATGGGAGGAGTTTGGAGAGGCCATGGAGAATGACTTCCGCACGGCTTCGAGGCGATTTTGGTCCACCATCCGGCGTCTCAGGTGGGGATAGCGGTACGCCACCAACACTGTTTATAGTGGGGGTGGTGTGCTGCTGACCTCAACTCGGGATGTTGTGGGTCGGTGGGCAGAATACTTTGAAGACCTCCTCAATCCCACCGGCATGTCTTCCACTGAGGAAGTGGAGCCTGGGGACTCTGGGTCGAGCCCTCCAATCGCTGGTGCTGAGGTCACCGAGGTGGTTAAAAAGCTCCTCGGTGGCAGGACCCCAGGGGTGGATGAGATTCGCCCGGAGTTCCTTAAGGCTCTGGATGTTGTAGGGTTGTGTTGGCTTACGCGACTCTGCAATATTGCGTGGACATCGGGGGAAGTTCCCCTGGATTGGCAGACCGGGGTGGTGGTCCTCCTATTCAAAAAGTGGGACCGTAGAGTGTGTTGCAACTACAGGGGAATCACGCTCTTAAGCCTCCCTGGTAAGGTCTATTCGGGGGGTTCTGGAGAGGAGGGTCCATCTTATAGTCGAACCTCGGATTCAGGAGGAGCAGTGCGGTTTCGTCATGGCCGTGGAACACTGGACCAGCTCTACACTCTCAGCAGCATCCTGGAGGGTGCGTGGGAGTTTGCCCAACCGGTCTACATGTGCTTTGTGGACTTGGAGAAGGTGTAGTGAACTAAGCCTGAGGTCAAATCCTGACCTTAAGGACCTTATGGGACAGAAACTGTCATTTCATTGATTTGAATCCAGAAATACAGGTTGACCCATCCTGAGACTTTCTTTCTTGAATTGATCAAGTGAAAGAACACTCTCTTTTCTATTATCATTACTATTTTACAAATGTTTGATAATCAAAGTGTTTTAGTTCAAACCATTTTTAGATGTTGCAGTGAACTAATCATTTTTAATTAACTGTGAAACAGTAATAATGATTTTTAATCCTCATGCAAAGTGGAAATCATGTTGAGGTCTGTTACAGAGTAATTATGCATTTTCTGATTTTCTGTCTTTGAATGAGCAAGTGTAAGTTGGTCCAAGGTTGGAGTCAAACGCAAAACAAGTTGTTGGAATGAACTGTCATGTTTTTAGAATCCTCTCAGACGTAAATATAGAGGCTGGCACCTGTTTTCCCCCCAACTCGTCTAAATATTCCTCTCGTCTGTCTGAAAAACATTTTCAATCTGTTCCATAACATTCTTGCTATTTTTCTGACTCCTAGTGACCTCTTACGTCACAAAAACACACCCCTGTCTGGTCGAAACGACCAATCAGGAAACTCCCAAGTGAACCGGAAATAGAGCTCTTTAAATGTCGGTACTTCCTAGTTCAACCCAGTCGAGTTTGGAGTCGA